GATTTCACGGCAATGGTTTTAAGTTAGTTGGTTTTGCTTCGTGCTAATGGTGAGTTAAGCATTTCCCAGCTTATTTTTACAGGCGTATCTATATGATATTGTTAACCCACTGTCCTAGGTAAGGAGAAGGTTGAGCGTCACAAATATGTTTTACACTGTCACATTCTTTATGTGTTTGTCCCAAGTCAGGAGCTTGTAATTCAGTGTTTTTCGTTGATTTGTCATAAGTTATTGGTTTTTCTCGTTTGAACTGTTTCCATTTTGTCATGTCGGGGGCCTTTGATAGCTAATTTTACGGTATGGGTTTCGCTCATTGACGAAGGCCGTACTGTGACATAATGTTGCTTACATCCACATCTGATAAATTTATATATATATATAAATTTATATCAAAACAACTATCATTTAGATAATATACAGCATAAGTTAAACCATAAATGGCCATCTTAATATAAAAGGCGAACTTATATATCCTATCGTTTTGATGATGATGATGATGATGATGATGATGATGATGATGATGATGATGATGATGATGATGATGATGATGATGATGATGATGATGATGATGATGATGATGATGATGATGATGATGATGATGATGATGGATGACTGCTTTACGTCCAGCGGCAAATCAATATGCATATTCAGGACGAGAACATGTTAATATGATATGAATATAAACCCTACTTTGTACTAGACCGACACGCTGAGTCGGATTTTTACCGTGTTTGTTCTAAATGTAACAGTCCGCAGGAAGACATGTCATCTTACACATTATTCTGACTCCGAGCTGACCGGTCTTTGCTCTTATTCCTTAAAGCCGCGTGTTTAGCGGAGAAGCAGCAAATACCAGTTTTAAAGTCTTTGGTTTTACCCGGTCGGGCTTCGAACCCACGACCTCCCGCACTCGAGGCGAACACGCTACCACGAATCTATCGTTTGAATGTGTATTTGTGGCAATTTATTTGAGCATTTAATTACTGATATTAAATCAGTGACGGTAAAACAATATTTTTTTTCTAGAATTTTAATCTCCGTTACTTCGTTATGTGTCTCGTTGGCTATCATCTTCTCATTGTAATATCGATCGAGTTACAGTATTTTATAGCATTTAACTTATATTGTTATTATTTTACTTAGATTATCTTGAACGGTATAATATGATGATGATGGTGATGTCAAAGTCTTCTCAAATCTTTCTAAATGAAGTTACTAGGTACTTCCATATAATAGTGTTTCCCACATAATATAACTGTTATCTTGTATTATTTAGATACAGAGTTGACAAAGACAAAATGTGGAAATATTTCAGCACTATCTTGCTGTTTGGTCAGAATATCTTTGGACGAATACTGATAGACTCAGAGATAGAGAATGTGCTCGAACAATATCATAATACATGTGGGACTCGTTCTTGTTTTTCGAATGATACTCTCAATGACAATGAATTTTCTTCAATGATTTGTGGAATATGCTCGTGTAACAAGAATTGTATAAAGGAGGCAAACTGTTGTCCAGAGGTTCTGCTTCGTCAACCAAAAAGAATTTGCTTTGATGGAATAATTCATCGCCCAGCAAAGCAATATGTCAAGGCAACAACATATAATCGTTTTAAATCCGTGAAAGAATGTCCTCCTTATTCTCCTGCTGATATCCGCATGAAATGTACAAAGAATAGAAACGTCACGGAGAGATTTGTGGCAATCCCTATGACATCACTTAACACCCACTTGACGTATGACAATATTTACTGTGCCCAGTGCAACAATGATGGGCAAAATTTGGAATCATGGTATCTTGATTTTCAATGTAAAATGAAAATTAACTTTAACATCCTTAGCTCAGTTAATGAAATCGTTTCACTGGCTATTCAAAGCAACTGCACAATAATAACAAGCCCTGTGAATAACCAAAAATCTTTCATCGAATCTTGTAATTCAAAAAGTGTTATATCTGAATGCAACCAAACTGGTACTTGGTTAAATGAAGATGATGCTGTACTTCACGCATGTCAGTCAGTAGATCAGCCGATTGGAATGTTTAAAAACGTATTCTGTTATATATGTAATCCCCCCATTGGTCACAAAGAAGTTATAACGTCATGTCCATTTAACAATCACAATATCAGTCTCTTTCAACTATGTAACAATTCGTTTCCTAGTGAAAGCATGTATCCATACAACAATAAATTTTGTTATCAGTGCAATGTTAACCAGACTTTAAACAATGCCATCGATATATTGTATAAACATTCGGTTAGTGGACATGTTTATTATGTTCTACCTCGCTACTGCAACGAACGGTCACAACTGGCCATATATGATAAGACAACAGCTATTGTTGTCAACACTCTACATATGAATTTTACAGATTCACAGAAAACACATGATAATATTCCTTTTACAAGGCAGTGGCAATATATGATTATTTGTCCGAAGCAGGAAATATTTAGTCTGTTTTATAGCGCTAATGATATAACTCAGGAATCTTTATTACGCGGGTGCAATAATTTTGAACCTGTTTCAAAGTACGAAGCGAAATGTGTCAGTAAAACACGACTTATACGTGAATGCAGTGAACCTATGTTCACAACTGACATGTTCCTTATTTTGAAAACCGCGTGTCTGTCATTAGAACATAGTAATTTAGTTGCATATAAAGGTTATTACAATATTTTTTGTTACATATGCAACTTGGAATTCTTAAATATGAAATCAATTTTATGTAGAGACCAATACTTTCTTTTGCTGTTTAACATTAAAGACGAAATATGCTTAAACGTAATACAATATAACTGGAACATCCAATTTGTGTATTGTCAATTGTGTTCCTTCAATGATCCGATAACTCAGCCAGGTGGAAGCGCTGGATATCGTTCAATGTTATTGTTGTCGTCATACGATCAATCTATAGATATACGTAGCTCATTATCTCACAGTTGTTCAAGTCAACAAATCTTTGATTCTTCATTGGTGAGTACAATACAATATTTAACGGGTAAAACTTTAAGTCGTACCGTTAATTCAGAAATAATTGAATAAATTGCATTTCCACTGTAAAATGATTTTTAGAAAAACTTTAAATGTATAAATTGGTAGGGTCTACTGATTAAGAAATTATTTCTGTGCTTTTTTGTGACAATGAAATATAAAATTGAAAATGGAAACGGGGAATGTGTCAAAAAGACAACAACGCGATCAAAGAGCAGAAAATAGTCCAAGGCCACCAATGGGTCTTCAACACAACGAGAAAATCCCGCACTCAGAGGCGGGCGTCAACAGGCCCCTAAACAAAAATGTTTACTAGTTCAGCAAAAATGGACATCACACTAAACTCCGACACACATAGATGAACCAAAAGTTTAATAACATACAAGACTTACAAAGGCTAGAGGTTCCTGACTTCGGACTTTAAACATGTTTTGTAAGATTTCAACCCTTTCCTATACCTCTAGACAATGTAGAATAAATACCGTAAGATGGTGATAAGGGAACATCACCATCTAAAAATGGATAATTACCAATACATGTAGGAAATGAAAAATCATCTCTTTTATCGTAAATTTGGGAATTAAGCGATTGAAAAGGTAGTGACCAGTGTTAGAAAAATCAAAATATTTAATTGTATATTTTGAGTTTAAGAATTGTTTTATTGTAGCAAAACTTAAGTTGTATCGCCCTAAAGAGTTGTTTACCTAAAAGCGTTTTTACTGTTCTGTGCAGACCTTAATGATTACCTGTGTTATATATATTAAGATTTCCAAAAGTTGTCTAGAGCAAACCAGATAAGGAATCTTTCAAAAACACAGGTTATACGTTATGTAGATCAATGAAATATCTTTTGTTCATCACAAGACAAATGAATAAAACGAAACGTAAAAATATAAACAACTTACTTTTCTGAAAATAAAACTTTCAAAATCATAACTCTTATAATACCATATCCATAAAACAGCGGAAGTAAATACCATAAAAACGTACAAAGTGAGCAATTACTTTTTCTTTGAATATTGAAGTTTGTATTTGTCTAATAACCATAAAACTCATTCGGTTTAATCATAACAATTCTATTTTTCTTTTTTTAAATTGTAAACATACGGAATAAAAATGTTTGAATTCCGAGGTATATTGAATAAAACCAATGTCCATTGGTTTTGAATCGAAAGAAATTTTCAATTTACAAATGTATATGTATATCAACATAAACCATGGTTTATTGCTATTTTTCAGAGTATTTGTAGAGATCTGAGGTGTATTCCTGGAAAGGTCTTCGCAAACAACACATGTATCCCACTTCTGCAAATGACAGAAGATTTATGCTATATATTTGCTGTTCACTTTGAAGCTATAATTTCTAAAAACGCCCAAGAGGCAGTAGGTATTGATTTGATAAGAGAACTAGCCGATGAAGCATTTGATAATTTGAATAGAAGGTTAATAAATACATCAATATATGGTAATATGAAGTATATAATTGCTAACATCTCGTGCAATAACATTAATATTAAAACTTCATTTTCTGGGTACCTATACTTCGATTTATGTACTTTTGGAGTGGTATCAAGACATAACATTGATTCAAATTTGCTACACCTGATGAATTCAACAGTAACCCTTAATCAAAGTGATCTTATTATGAGGGTTAATTATGAAAGTGATGCGGAGGCCTTTGATGTACCTTCATTGGTAGACAATATAGCAGTTGCAGACTTGTGCACATATCAAAGCGTGATTCCAATACGTGTTCCGGGCAAATTTGCTACGTATTACCGTGTAAACAAGCTACTACTGTGTACTCAGGTTGAATTTAGCACACACGAATATGAGAAGCAACGAAATGGGGAGATTAAGCTTCATAACAGTGGCCAACTCTTAAGGCGTAATGAATATCTTACAGTAAAAAATAATCATATTCGAGTGTGTTCTGATAGGTTTCTTCAGCTCATTTCCGAACTGCCAAATGAGAATATAGAACTTCCTATGTTTATTATCAGAGCCATGTGTAATGTTATATCACTTATTTGTTTAATTCTCACATTTATGACATACGTTTTATTCAAAAGTTTGAGAACAGTTCCTGGTCAAAATAACATGACCTTAGTGTTATGTATGATTTTGAACGACTTTCTCTTCCATGTTCGACTGTACAGTTTAGAAAATATTTATCTATGTCAGGCGATTGGTGTCCTTCAGCATTATTTCATTTTGACTGTATTTACATCATATAATGTGTGCACATTTCATGTTTACAGGGTTTTCACGACAAGTTTTTCAACCACAGCGAACTCAAATATTCATGTTTTATTCAAATATAAGGCATATATTTTTGGATTTCCGGCTATCATAGTTACAAGCAATATTCTTGTATCTTTTATTGACAATGATTATCAGTCCATTGGATATGGAGGTGATTTGTGCTTTATTGTTTTTAAATTGGCAGCAATTATTACATTTTTATGTCCAGTTGGTATTATCTTGTTGTCAAATGTTATTATGTTTGCTGCAGCAGTGTTTAACATTTGCAGTTCTCCACACGTGTCATCAGAAAATGTATCACATGAAAAAAAGAACAACATAGTCATATACTTTAAGTTGTTTGCCATAACTGGCTGCACTTGGTTACTACAGTTTATTGATGCATTGTTCCCGATATCAATGTTCACGGTTTTAATTTCAATGTGTAATTTGTTGACGGGGATATTTATTTTCATGTCATACATTTGTAACGAGCGTGTTTTAGAATTGTACAAATCCAAATTTATAGGTGGCAACAAGTATCTCTTTTCTGGTATATCACCAAAGTCGGCAACAAATCAAACAACATTACATTCCTGACTACAATTAATTTTGTTTGATACCAAAACATAAAAAAAAACAACAAACACATATGAAAACGAAACTATTAATATATCACACGCAATTAACAATTTCTTTACATTTGTTTCTTTTTCTTACAATCTTTTGTGATTACTTTGGCACATTGTTATTATGTCATATACCAATTCGTCTTTTTTTATTTTATTTTCATGATTTATATATTTCATTGAAAATGTAATTAATGTTCTGCATGTTTATCAATGTTTATAAGATGAATACGTTTGATTGATATCCGTTCTCATAGTGTTCAGGTTTCATCAGATAAACTTCACCTCGATAAGCAGAGAACATCGACATGTATTTCATCGTAATAATAAATAGACATGTATCAAAATATATGTAGTAAAAATCAGTTTCGTTCTTTCTTGTGCTGAAACACAAATCCGTTCATGGTTATAACTATAGCTCTACGGATATTGTTTTTAAATACGATAGGTGTTTTTAAAAAAATAGAGAAGAGCCAAAAGAAACAGAAAACATCATGCCTGCAAGAAAAACAATGAAAAGATAAAAACTAAAAATTAACAAAACGAATCCCACCAAAAACCGGACTGAACTCGAGTGCTCCGGAGGGATAAAAAGTTCTTCTTTCACTGGTGGCATTCGTTGTGAAGCTAATGGTAAGTGCAAATTTGGTAATAAGTGGCATTCAGTGAAATCAGAATCGCAGAAAATATAACAAAATTGTATCTACGACTAGTTGAACAGATCCGTAGTCATCTATGACACACAATTTCCATAACGACTAATCAATCAAGATTGCGTTGGTAAAACGTTCGAAGTTAAACTTCAACTAAACCACTTAGAACCATTTGTTCAAAAGTTTCATTCAAAGTTTGCTCAACTGACCCTTGTCAATTTCTTTATCAAAGCCGATATATGAAGGACACTTTTCTGTATCTTTGTATCTATAACTGGTATCATTATGTACTCTATGTAGTATAAACGTAATACTGACTCTTTTTAAGTAAAATTGAATAAGGAACAAAAAATGGGAGTTTTTTGCCAACTTGGAACGTAAATGACACCGAATGATAGGTCAATGTTTTTAATTAGATATGTAAAATTTATTGAAAGAATTTAATTTATTTGTTAGAATTTTTTATTTTGATGATAGAATTTTTGTGATTGTATCTTATGAACAGTTAATTTTGCAAATACAGATAAAAATAATTTTGATTTAAAGATTTTAAAAGTTTGCTTAATAAAGGGATATAACTCATTTATTCAATTATTAAGGAATGTACAGAAAATTTATCCATTTTGCAAGGTAGCAAGAACACTTGTTCGGTGACCCCACCTTTTCTTCTTATTTTAAGAAAGCATTTTACAGTGGGAAATCTAGTGACAAACATCACCTCCCCTGTAAAAACAGAAATCTTGATCTTTTCAATGTTTGTCTCGTATTAGCACTGGCACTTTTAATTAAAAATTCACACGAAAACGTTCTGGTAAATAGAAACAATAAAATTAGATTTAAATAAAAACAAAGTGTTCTTATAATGTTATCATTTCCCTCCTATAATCGCGAACGACGAGTACAGCAGGCTATAGGACCTTTTAACCGATAACCTACTTTATAAAAATATTTATCTTTAATTTTTAACCAGCACACACATGACTTTTAAATTGTTATATTAACTAAAAGATAATATTTCTATATTGAAAGTTCGTGTGACAAGAGCAGATCGATGTACTCGAAAACTTAATTAAATTGTAATAATTGGTATATTTTTGGAAATGGTAACATGCTAAGAAATGAAGAAATGATTTGTTTATACCCCAATCTACTTTGAGGTAGAACAGGTTTGTTTTGTAATGTAAATAATGTAAATTACGAAACGTAAGTTACAGTCAACGTATTACTGTAACCTTGTCGCCCTGTTATTGAAGTGTTCATGCATGTTTCGGTTAAGTCTGTTAATAAGATTCATATCTATATTTTGCATTATATAGTTAAGCTTTTATCCATTTTCTCGCAATAATATTAACATAAATCTTTAAAAATATGTGACTGACTATTATGCTTGATCAGATTGTTTTTACATTTTTCTCGTATAAGTTATGATGGCATGATACTAAACCCCTAACGGGAAGTATTGTGGTTGATTTTCATATGAGGAAAACCTAATTTTATTATCTTCTAAACTGATGTCTGGAGCTCACATGTAGCCTGCCTCCGGATGCGGGATTTTCTCGCTGCGTTGAAGACCCGTTGGTGGCCTTCGGCTGTTTTCTGCTCTTTGGTCGGGTTGTTGTCTCTTTGACACATTCCCCGTGTCCATTCTCTATTCTATTATAAGGTATTTAGGATAATTCTAGAATTGCAACATCATTTTGCCGACCGGAATTAAATGCTTTCGTGAAGTCGTTTAAGATGACTAGTAAATTAAACTGTGAAGGTGGATTTTCTTGTACTAACACTTATCAGTCTCATCTCTTTCTTTAACGGGAATATGTAGATATTTTCGGTTTTCATGGATATGATGTATTACCAAAAGGGTTTGGAGTTGTTAGAAAATCAAACAAATATATGCTAAATGACCAAAGATGTGTAAACTTTACTAGTATGTCGTTCGTCTAGCTTGTTGGGGTCGGTTTCTTTTCTTCGCAAACAGTTGCATAACTTAAGGTTTTTTCTAGGAGTGGATTTATTTAGATTTCTTTTGAACAATCTTCATTGAAAGTGCCACTGATTTCTTGAACGTGAATACTGTTCCATTTTCCATGAAGCTATATTTGTTAGACTCAGATCAATGTCTGGTCTCGTATCGACGTCCGTTCGTCAAATCGACGTCCAATCTGATATTCTCAAAATACTGCCTTATATTTTATCCCCTCATCTCGAGGTTCAATGTGACGTCATGTATTACCAAAGTGATGTTGATCGATCGGATTTCATCTAATTGATGTCCAATATGATTTAAACATTTATTTCTAGTTTGGTCTTTATTTATTTTCTCTGTAATTATCGTTTTATTTTGTGCAATGCTGGTTGAATATTATACATTTTTTTATATAATACAAGTGTGGACTCAGATCAGTGTGGATTATAAGTTTGGATGTTTGACAGTGTTTTCTGACAAAAAGAGTTCTCTGTTTTTCCCCCATAGTGTTCTATGTTAAAATGTGTTGCACAGTGTACCAAACACTAAAAATTAGCAGTGTTTTATAATTAATATTTAGTTTTAATGTTCAAGACTGTCATGAAGGAGACACTTATTGCATGGATTACCAAATGATTCTGATAAAATATGTCCCGCAACTTTGATTTTTGATAGCAGCAAAAACTCAAAATTAGGAGAGGAACACAATTCAGGTGCATTTCTGCACGATGTGATTTGAATTTGCGTATCTGAGAACCTGCATTCATGTACTATTTGTATAGATCTATTTATATTCCTTAGTGTTGGTCATTTCCTACTTGGGTTTGTCCAAAAAAAACTGTAAATTAGTTAAGGATCTTCCCAGTATCATTAGTAAACGATTTCCTTCAAATGTCGAAATTGTTTCTTAGAAGATATCTAATGGTTTTAAGTAATGACAAATTACCAGATATGGCATAACCAGGTTTATAGAATAACTAGTCACGAGTAGAATATTTTTCGATATTTGAATTCTTTGATTGGTTATTCTTTTTATTACATTGGCAAATGACTTTTTTTTATGAAATTAAAGTAGAAAATGTAAGGACCTATATCTTTTTCTACGCATTCACAATTTGTTTTGATCCGGCGTTATCGACGTCTTGACAACGCCTATTGTTGTATGGCGTCAAAGGAGTGAAATAACCACGTTTATTTCACATGTGAAATTATCGGTTTTTATTTCATAGGGAAATCAATGTAATTCATTGCAACCAATGTAATAAACTTGTTTACTTTGTTATGTGGGTATAATAACTTGGTCAATCCAATGAATTTGTTTATGATTCTTAATTTCTAGAAATAAATTATGACAAATAGTGTAGACTTGAAGAAATATGAACTATGAATTTTTAGTATTTTAATTGAAAAAGGTATTGCAAAATTATTCATGTTTGAAGACGTTTATTATATGGATAAACATATAAGTGATACCGGTACAGAAAGATGCAGTTTGTTGTGGTATAAAAGTGAGCAGTGCTGTAATTACTGACATTTACACAAATTAAGAAATGAACGAATAAATAATAAATGTTGAACAATGAAAGATAATTTTAGAAATCGATTAGGCCTTGTGAATTTTGTCCTTTTCTTTTACATAAATAAACATAATGTATACGTGATTGACTATTACACTCAGAACTCGTCAGTAGGCAGAACAGATGTTTAAAAAAAGTGTTACAAAACCAAAACTATTGCTAATAGCATGAGTAGCATTAATTGGTAAATTTGAGGTTTTTTTTATTTGGCTTCTGGACAAAAAATGTTTGATTCAAATGTAAATAAAATGCTTTAATCTCCCCTTAACTAATTACATTGAATGGATGCTTCTTCAACAATTTCTTGTGCTGACAGTTTTAATCATCTTACCTTACAGCTCATGTGCAGATGTGAGTTGTCTGTCAAATCTTTATTTGACAAAGAATGTATTTGCACAACAATGAACAGAGCTCAAAACAAAGCACTTTAATAGTACACTTAGACAAAGAGCTCAATCCAGTGATATACTTTGTAATACAGTCCGTTCATGAACATCTGCCTTCATAACCACATCTATGATATAACAAACATGCCAAACTACATGGATCAGAAGTCCCCCGAGGTGCAACTATTGCCCTGATGCGTAGCCGAGGGCAATAGTTGTATCCGAGGGGACAATAAAGTTACTATTCCACAAATATCCAGTCAGTAAGTGTTTTATTATACCGAAAGAGACAACAGACAATAAATGTCGGGGCTTAATCAACTATCGTAATATTAAAAGGAGAAACACAACCATACTGTTTAACGTTTACTTCATATATATTCTGAATG